TACAGCACGGTCACATGACTTCACGTCTCCACCGCTAAGCTAAAGGTGGCTAACGTTGGGCGTGATGGCGTTTAGTCGTCTCATTTAGACACTCGTTAGCAACCTTTGTTTTTAAATCCACCAGTGGGGTATTTACTGACGTATTTAATGTCGTAGAACAAAACGTTGACATCTCTTCAGCTTGTGTTAACCACAGACCTTATTTCTGACCAAAAACACATTCAGAAACCCATTAACCTCCAGACCAGGAGACAGGACGTGAGTTTTTGGGACTCATCCCTGCAGCTCTGATAGCATAGAGCTTCCAACAAGGAGCCCTCTGCTGGCTAACAGTGGTTATTTCTAAATGAGGCAGATTGAGATGCAGCTCGGAGCGTCTCGTCTTTGAAACGCTGCATTTTTCTTTCTCTCATCTGGCTGGAGGCTGCAGAACCAAACACATCATCCGTATCTGGATCTTAAGTAAGAGTTGAGCTGCTGCAGGTGAAAGAGAGAGCTGCTTTAAGATGAAACATCTTCTGTTGGACCAAAGTGACACCGACTGCACTCAGAAAACTAAATCTGCTGATTACTACTTTTTAAGAGCTGGTTTTACAGTTTAAGTTGTGAGATCAATAAAGTACATTCATTATAATCTAAATAAATCAAATCTTTAGGTTTATTTAGAAAACAATACAGCGAACTTGAAACCATTTCCCATTAGTTTTTCAACAGAGAACCAATGAAATATCAATTAATTTACATTTATATGCAATAAAACCAAACAAAACAACTGCCAACAGTTCCTCAAACGTGAGTATTTACGTTTCTTGTGAAGTAAACTAAATACCTTTGGGTTTGGGGATGTGATTTTCCCCACGTTATACACCCAACAACTAGCTGATTAATCAATAAACTAATCAGCCGGGTTATTGATGACGCCAACAACCGTCAGTTTCAGACCTAATTAAGGACATCACTGTGTGGTAAAGACAAACACATTGGGGGAGGGGGAAACAAAGCATTTACTGCGTCTGATTTTAAAAAGCCACCTGAGGGACATGAAGGCAAAGTAAAAAACAAGACAAAACGGATATTATAGTGACAGTCAACAAATAATTAAAAGCAACTTCTTTGATAATCGAATCATTATTTCAGTTAGTTACAGTATTATAGTTGCATTAGAGCAGCGGTTCCCAACCTGTGGGCCCCCTAGTGGTCCGTGAAGGCATTACAAGTGGACCGCCAAATCATTTGCAAAACATTATGATTTGTGTGGAAACATTTCATTATTAAGATACTTTTTTTAAATTTGAACCTCTTTTCCTTTTTGTTTCTTGATCCTCCTTAGCAACGGCCATTACAGTCCTTGACAGCAGTCTGTTCTACTGGATTAACAATGTGTCACATGTTCTAATTTGACCAATCAGAATCGAGTATTCAACTAAACCGTGTAACACAAATGTCTGTTTGTTACTGATAGCCAGCTCCTTTTCTAATTAAAATAAAAAGTACTCTTGAGAACTGTATTTAGCCTCCGTCTTGTTTACAGTTGAATGTGGGCCGGGAACACATTTTAGATTCTTAAGTGCGCCGTGAGTTGAAAAAGGTTGGTTACCGCTGCATTACAGGATTAGAGCCACATGGGGGGGAAATGGAGATCTGACCAAAAATAAAATCATTCATTCTGAAAATATCTTGACATAACATTTGATCCGATCTCAAACAGAATGTGATTGTCAGGAGCAGGAGGTGATCAGGACCCAAATGCTGAATAAAGAGGTTGGTGTATGAAATAAAGCTGTTCCAAACAAACACTAGACAAATGCACAAGCAGGCAAGATCATCAGGAGGAAAAGGAGCAAACAAAAACAAAAGAACTAAGCAGGAAGACTTGGAGGACACGGGAGGAAAAGCCAGAATACAGAGAAAGATCCAGGAGCCAAAACCAGAGAAACAACGACGACGAGGGAGCACAAGGGAAGACGAGACTAAATCCACACGGGGGTAATCACAAGACAAGACACAGCTGGGGAGGTGAGACACGGGGCAGCAGGTGAACACAATCACACAATCAGGGACGAGGGAGAACAGAGGAAGTACAACATAAATGTCAAAATAAAACAGGAAACTAAGATCATGAAGATGAGATGTTGCCATAATCCTCTCCCACAGCTTCTCAAAGTAAAAGCGTTGTTATTGCTTCTCCATACACGATTCAACACTGTGTTTTTAACTGTATATCACTCGCTCTTGTTCAGAGATTATACACAGGCGAGGCGAGGTGAGGCGAGGCAAGGCAAGGGGCAAGGCGAGGCGAGGCAAGGGGCAAGGCGAGGCAAGGCGAGGCAAGGCGCAAGGCGAGGCGAGGCAAGGCGAGGCGAGGGGCAAGGCGAGGCGAGGCAAGGGGCAAGGGGCAAGGGGCAAGGCGAGGCGAGGCAAGGGGCAAGGCGAGGCAAGGGGCAAGGCGAGGCAAGGGGCAAGGCGAGGCAAGGGGCAAGGCGAGGCAAGGGGCAAGGCGAGGCAAGGGGCAAGGGGAGGCAAGGGGCAAGGCGAGGCAAGGGGCAAGGCGAGGCAAGGGGCAAGGCGAGGCAAGGGGCAAGGCGAGGTAAGGGGCAAGGGGCAAGGCGAGGCAAGGGGCAAGGGGAGGCAAGGGGCAAGGCGAGGCAAGGGGCAAGGCGAGGCGAGGCAAGGTGAGGCAAGGCAAGGGGCAAGGTGAGGCGAGGCAAGGGGCAAGGCGAGGCAAGGGGCAAGGCGAGGCAAGGGGCAAGGCGAGGCAAGGGGCAAGGGGCGAGGCGAGGCAAGGGGCAAGGCGAGGCCAGGGGCAAGGCGAGGCGAGGCAAGGGGCAAGGCGAGGCAAGGAGCAAGGCGAGGCAAGGGGCAAGGCGAGGCGAGGCAAGGGGCAAGGCGAGGCGAGGCAAGGGGCAAGGCGAGGCGAGGCAAGGGGCAAGGCGAGGCGAGGCAAGGGGCAAGGCGAGGCAAGGGGCAAGGGGCAAGGTGAGGCGAGGGGCAAGGCGAGGCGAGGCAAGGGGCAAGGTGAGGCGAGGCAAGGGGCAAGGGGCAAGGCGAGGCGAGGCAAGGGGCAAGGCGAGGCGAGGCAAGGCGAGGCAAGGGGCAAGGCGAGGCGAGGCAAGGGGCAAGGCAAGGCGAGGCGAGGCAAGGCGAGGCAAGGGGCGAGGCGAGGCGAGGCAAGGCGAGGCAAGGGGCAAGGCGAGGCGAGGCAAGGCGAGGCAAGGCGAGGCAAGGGGCAAGGGGCCAGGGGCGAGGCGAGGCGAGGCAAGGCGAGGCGAGGCTATTTATATAGCACCTTTCAACACAAGGCAATTCAAGGTGCTTTACAAAAATGAAAGACATTCAGACAAAGGCATTTAAAAACAGCATGTTTGAATATTATTTAAACGTTTATTTACACGTTATGTACAAGAAGCCTTTTCTTAACCACTAGCTGTGGCAATGACAGTCATCTCATGCTTCAATCGTGCCCTAAAATGTGATCTTTTTCGGGCGTCACTGCGCAGTGTTTGCCTTTTAATCCATAGAACTTTGCTCTTAGTTTAGATTCCAATTATGAACGTAGACATGGACACACCATAAGAGTTGCTTTGTATGCTGCATGCGTCACAATACTGCAGAAATGGCCACCTGATATTTGTAATGGTTGAAAAACTGATGTCCATTCTGCCATTGGAGCGGTCCCCAATATCACCTGACGTTCAAGAGGAAGGGTCCGGTGTTATTACAGTGGGGGCAAATACTCACACATGAGGGCTGCACTGTTTGTTTGTTTTGTTGTTTTGTCCTCAATGTGTTGGTGTTGTCTCACCTTGTAAGTTCTGCGACAGATAAACCAAGGTAGTAATGATTCATTAAAAATAAACAAACCGGTCTAAAACTGCAAATAAACCCATCAGGAAAATAAAGGTGTTTTTTGATCATCAAATATGTTTTTTAGGAGAACACAACAACAATATTTTAGTTCCAGCGAATCAAAGAAAAAGCTTTAATTAGTTTTATCTCGATCCATGATGTATGTTAGAATGTAAGTGTGTTTTTATCTGCTATACTTGAACATGTTATAGACAGATTATTTCTACAGGCGGTCTTGTTTCTTCTGCTGTTCTGCAGATAAACCAACAACCCCACAGATAGGACCTTTGACCTGCAGTCGACTACAGAAACCTCTCATAAGGAAAAAATCAATGGAGGAACGTTATTATATCCCATATCATAGACCCATAGTGTCATGTCATCAAACACACACACACACACACACACACACACACACACACACACACACTTTAGATGTCACCCTGAGAGAATCGACACCCTGCACGCAGAGCGGTGATGCTGACAGAGCTTCACATTCATACAAATAAAACAAGAAGCTGACCTGATTTTGAAACTTGTACTCGGCTACTGTAAAAGTGAAAGTACTCAGATCTTGTACTTGAGTACAAGTAGAAGTACCAGAGAGTAGAAATACTGCATTAAAAATGTCCCTCAAGTAAAAGTAGAAAAGTATTATCATCAAAATATAGTGAAATCATGAAAGTGTTCTCAAAGCTGGTGAAGGTGCAGCTAGTTTGAATGGCTTTGTATACTGCAGGGTAGCTGGTGGATTTACTCCAGGTGGAACTAAAGTCTGATTCAACACTTGATTAGATTTCACATCATTCATCCACATCTGTGAAGAAACTAAAGGGATTAAATACATGTAGTGGAGGAAAAGTACAGAGTAGCATAAAATGGAAACACTCAAGTAAAGTACAAGCACCTCAGAATTGTACTTAAGTACAGTACTTGAGTAAATGTACTCAGTTACTTTACACCACTGCATACACGAGCTGTTTATGGGGCCCAGCTGGACACGTGCACAACAGCAACAAGAGTCTGAGAGAAATCAGCATGCAGCGCGAGCAGCTGCAGAAACGCATCTCCATAAAGTCCTGCTGTGAGGAAGAGGAGAGGAAGAGAGGAAGAGGAGAGGAAGAGAGGAAGATGAGAGGAAGAGGGGCACGCACCTGAACCTCCACGCTGTATTCCTGGTAGAGGTGCGTGGGAAACACCGACAGCTGATGTTCCACTTGGAGGGAAACTGTGTAATCCATGGACTGGAGGATGTGGAGACTCAGAGAGCGCGAGGAGCGTCTGCTGCTGGCGCGAGGTCTCCGCCCGAGCCAGTGTGCAGCCGAGCCCTGCCCACCGAGCTCCCATTGGCTGAGGCGGTTCAGGAGGCGGGGCCGAAAGTGGAGCATCAGATACAATCATCTGCACCTGACAGCATGTAAACATAGTGTACTACGTATAGTATGAGTTTGCATAGTCATTACAGCTTTTAAATTACATCTGCATCAACAGTTGGTTTTGTCTGCTGCCGTGAGAAAAAAAGATCCCACATTGGGATCAATAAAGTATATCTAATCTTATCTAATAAACCTGTTTCGACAATCTATAGTCTGCACCAGTCTATAGTAAAGATAGACTGGGGGAGACTAAATATAGTTTTGTCTCAACCAGTCTATAGTCTGCACCTACATTTATTCAGTCTATAGCATGCAGTCTATAGCCTGCAACAGTCTATAGTCTTCACCAGTATATAATCTTCACCAGTATATAGTCTGCACCAGTTTTAAATCAGCACCTGTCTATATGTTATACAGTCTTTAGTCTGCACCTATTTCAGACAGTGTTTAGCCTGTACCAGTCTATAGTCATCACCAATGTGATGCTGTAGTGTGCACCAGTCAATAGCCTTCCCCTTTTTATACTCTCTATTGGTTCTCATCTTATTATTTTGAATACAGCAGGTGCTCCTATATGTTCATAACATACTGTGTGAGAGCTTAACACTTTCTGTCAGCTCAGATGTCATTCCTGCTTTTATAAAGTATGTGCTCATGTGTTTCAGCGTTAGGCTCCTGCCTTCATGAAAAGCAGGTTTTCCTACAAATAAAATCATTTCTGTTCCTAACTATCTTTCTTTTCTAAGGTCACATTGTTCTGTTGTCTTACAGAATACACTTCAGCAAAAACCATCCTTTATGTATTTTCTGGTCTTGTTTGCATATAGCTTTTACAGGTGATTGTAACAGAATACATTTTAAAGTACGCCCCCCCTCCCTGAGTCAAAGCGCTCTCTGATCACAGCCGCATGCAAACGGATCTGCGAGCAAAGAAAATATGTCGAGGCCGGAGGAGATCTATTTTTATTCATTTGTAGATTTCTCTGCATCTCATTACTCAGCAGAGGAATATATTCATGACATGCATTATGGAGGAGTGGTTGTCGACTATTAATTATTCCCTCTTTTACATCGTTTCCCTAAATCGGACTCCCTCCCCCTCCGCTGCATGTATGCATCACGTTGAATGTATTTACACTTTTAATAAGGCTGGTCACAAACTGCTTAGCAACACAGCAGATTAATGCAAAGACTCTGAAATGAGATTAGAGTGAAACAACTCTCAGATTATGAAGCATGAGCAGCAGAATGTAGGCCATCGTAAAGGTTGAGGATTTACGGGTGGAATCTTCCCCTCTGGTGATTCAGAAAGTATTATATTTAAAGAGTCCTCTCCTGCTGGTGTTAGGGTGTATATCAGTATGTAGTGTCTCTACTTTAAAGAGTTCTCTCCTGCTGATGTTCAGGTGTATATCAGTATGTAGTGTCTCTACTTTAAGAGTCTCTCTGCTGATGTTCAG